CAGTTGGTGAGCTATCTTTGGCCCAACTTACAAATGATTGTGAGCTTTACAGGCCAATCTCTTATTTATAAGGAATCTGACTGAGAGCTAAAGGGCCGGTCATTCCATTTAGAATCGAACAGTTGGTGAGCTATCTTTGGCCCAACTTCTATTTGATCGTGTGCTTTTGAGGCCGATCTCATTTCTTACCGAAATCTTGACTGAGCTGAACGGCCTGTCAATCTATTTTGAACCGTACAGTTTGAGAGCTATTTTTGGCCAAACTTCTGGTTGATTGTGAGCTTCGGAGGCTGATTTAATATTTCTGATATTTTGGACTGTGAGCTACTCAAAAGGCCGGTCACTTTTCATGATGCTTTTACCAAACGAGAGTTACTGCAACTATTTTTAATGTTTTTGTTTGTGTTGACATCTTTGGTACTAATGAACACTATTATAATGTATGTAGTCTTTGGAGAGTGGATGCTGCCTCGCCTTTTTTCTTCTTTTGTTTCAGGTGGCTGCATTTTTCTTTTGGGCCCTTGTTTTCGCTGCTGTTTATACAAGAGTGGGATATGAAGTGTCTGCTGCTACAGTAGACCGAGCTTTCTTTGAATGGCAGGTACTGAATCCTTACCCTAGTTCTTATTTAAATCGGTGTACTTCAGGTCCAACGTAATGTCACCTACATTTTTCCTTTACAGAAAGATGTGGCCATTCCAATGTTCTTGTTTATGTTTTGATTACTATGTATGTATACTGTTTAAACAGTGTATGCATTTTGAATTTTTGAAAATAACTTAGTCTCTGGAACACAGTTTTTACTGTATTGAAACCTGAAGAGATAGTATTTTCTCTGTTCTCAATCCCGGATCTATGGATTTTATTTTTCTCTAAACGCTTCTTTCTCAACTTTGCATATTTAAAATTGATAACTTCCAACTAAGTATTTGGCTCATAAATACTGAATGATCAAATTTGTACTCAGTGATATCGATTTCATAACTTTTTCATCGCGGCTTAAGCGTCAACATTATTTGATAAGACAATATGTAAGGTTTTAAATCTGTTCTTGTTTTTGCTTCTACAAAACGTTTTATGAAATATCTCGTAATTTTCTTCATCTCTTTCCAGATTCATTTGACATTCTACTGGGTATCCTTAGTATAGTACATTATCCCTAGTCTCATCCATCAAAACTGACAACAACAAGAATAAACGTAATAGTTATCTTACCAACTATTTATGTACCCATCAACGACTTGGAACCAGGTTAGTTGATACATTTCTCGCTTAAAGTTATATCTTTCTCTGGTGTATAAGTTTGTATCATTGCAAAAGTGTATGATAAAACTAAAACTATTGCTTTGATGACTTGAAATCTGTTATTAGATGTATTCAATTTGTGATGGTCATTATTTATTCCAGATGCTGCTATTGTCCATGGAATTTACAGAGCAAAATTTTTACTATGTTCGGTGAGTTTCTGTGTTACTGTGCTCCATGCGAAATGTGTTGGTGATAGACTGTACCAAGGATTTCAATAACAATTATAGTTACTCAGTCTTCTGACTGTGTTATAGAAATGTGCCTTAATGATCCCTACACTGCATGTTTGTTTTGTTCAGTACCTTATGGATCTCTGCTTTGCATTTTACCATATTTGATTGTTCTGAAATCACACAACTTATCGTATTTCTACTCTTTTGCACTCAGTTTTTCAAAAACATATTTGGCTCATTGCTTTCTTACTGTTTTTGTTATAGATTGAGAGCTCCTTAG